ATCAGGTTCCTTTGACCACATTTGCCTGTTTTCTAAGTCAGAGTGTCATTGTGACTGAGCTGGTGTCAATGATAAAACTCGATTTCAAGAGGACTGTGTGGTATCTGAAGCTCAGAAGTCGGCACTAAGGGAAACGTTAGGCAAGATTTTTACCTACTACGATTGAGTAAAGTTCTATTGAAAGAGGCGTTACGAGCAGATACGGCTTTAAGAAATGAAAACTGAGCGCTTCACACCAAGGTGCCCGTAGCTTACTTGCGCAGGTGTATGCAGACATACTCCAGGTCAAGGCGCTCACTTGTCCAGAGTCTTTTGTCTCCCAGAGACACCGCAGCTGCGCCAGCTTACTGGCCGCACTGATGAGCGTGCACAAATTCTGAAAAACAGGTAAAAAAAGAGAAGGAGCCTCTGCCTCTGCCACTGTATTATCCAAGTGTTCAGCTGCTAGCATGTACCTTACTAAAAGCCAGCACTAGCTTTTTCATTCAGAATTAAAAAATATATATATACTTTTTCAGTATTTTGCAACCCAAGCATTTCAGCTTCTTATTAAGGAACCGTGAAGGAAAAAACTAAAGTTGCCAGAAGCAAGGGCCTGATTTCTGAGGAAAGAAGCTCAAAGAGCACAATTGCTACTGCTGTTGGCAAATGCTTGATAAAGGCAAATACAGTAAGAAGCAAAGAAATAAAAAAGCCTCTCAACCTGCTACATAAAACTGTTTATGAAAGTTAGCTAAAATGAGACTGATCTAGTCTAAACAGCAAGGTTGATGCGAACCATCTGTTACCATTACGTCTGGCAAACAAAACCATAGAAGAATGAGAAAACTGACAAGAATGTGTGGAAAATGGGTCCAATTGGTGGGAAAAAATAATGAAGGGAACAGACTATTCACCCTGTCATTCTTTTAAGCAGGATTTTGCGAAGGCAGTGGGTAGATGGGACCTCCACAGGGGTCTCTCTGGCACGCCCGGATTTCCCTTGCAAGTAAGGACTGGTGTTAGGCTTGGAAGCTTTTCTCCCCATTTGTATCATCTTTTGCATTAGCAACTCCAGTTCATCTCAGTTAAAGTTCAACTTTCTCTCTTTTGATAAAAAGGGCAAAGACCATCTTTAGCCTATGTAGGGTATCATCAGATGATATTTTTCTTGCAAAATTTGCGGACTAAAGGGAAAAAAAGATCTTGTGCAGTATTTAATATTCCTTATTTCCAATATTTTGGCTGATGCTCTATTCTTTTCCTCTCCTGGTAAAGGTTTATTAATGGGTGTTATGACATTAGGACTAAAGAGGCAATCTTTTTTCATCATCTTAAACCTTTTCTAGTTTTAATTAAGGCACCGCAATTAACTTTACCTCAGAACATGCCTGTTTCCCCCCCCACACACACCCAAGTCTCTATTGCCAGTGCTATGTTTTCCAGCTACTCACAGAAGTGAAACAGCTGTATTTGAAAACTGGGGTTGTTCTGAAAGCTAACCCAAATGATTCTTCCAAGGACAAATATAAGGAGAGATTTCACTGATCAAGACATCCAGAAAAAAAGTAATTTTGTATGTGGACCTAATGTCAAATAATCATGCAGCACTTACCATGGCCAGGTCTATTATCCACTTCCGGAGTGTTAGCATGTACCAGCCCCCTCCAAATCTTACATTATGTTAAGTTTCATAGCACTGAAAATTCTAGGATACCCAAGCGCTTGAAACTGCCTGGGGAATTAGATGGTTTTGGAAACATCTGGAAATAATCTTATTGGAACTTTATAGCAGACTATACAATCTAGATAAAATATATTAAGCACTTGTAGAAACACTAAGTGCTCCTATTTTTCAAGCTGTCCTTGATTGAACAGTGACTGGAGTTTCTCAAGACCTGCTCCAAAGCATGAGACTTGAGATTTAAGCCCAAGTCCTACTTAAAAAAAAAAAAAAAACAAACCCCAAACTGCTGTGTTCATCATAACAAGCACAATCTGCATGGGTAGGAATCAAAGAAAAAAGATTAATCATTTCCACCCCGCATCTCTAGCAAAGATGTAAATTAAGAACTGGTTTTACTCCTTATCAGCTGTGGGTCTTCTAAAGCATAGCTACATAGAAAGCTTACTTCCCATAGAGATTTTACTGTGATCCAAGAAATCCACATGTGAGTGAGGAATGCATGTTGAGGAGTGGCTGAAAATTATTTACAATGGCAGCACAAAACAAATGATGACATAGCTGCTATGCAAAGAACTACCAAACAAGCTACATAAGCCAAAATTCCCAGATTTCAAAGGATACGTGACTGCATAGAGCAAAGCTCGTTTCATGTTTCCACTGAAACGCAGAATAAACAAAAGGAGAACGACATCTGAAACAAATAAAGGATCGCTTGTCAGAGAAGGTGAAGGGCCTAAATGCAACTCTAGACAGAAGGCAGTAGTTCCGCTGGGCACCAGGTCTGTGGAAACTGGTTTCTTACAGGTTTGTCTCTCTTTTGATTGATGTACAAAACACTGCAAGCTCCAAAATGAAACTTTTCTCAGAATCTTGTAAGGTCTCTCTCCCACGTGGAGTCACTGGAGAAAGGATGAGCTTACACTGCAACTCCACCCTGTGTGTATTAATTAGATCTTTCTCCTCTACCTGACCATCTCTTTTCATAAAATGAAGAGGAATTCAATCATGTTTGAGACATTCATTCCCTCTGCCCCCCCGACCCCAGCTAGGAGTGGTCAATGGATACATGTCATCACAGCGGGGTACTATATCTACAAGTCTTGGAGGGCTGAATGAGCCCTGTTTCATTTCCAAAACATGGCTTAAAAAAATTACCTTGTGCAATGATGATGGGATATTCCAGGTATGTCTGTAGAGGGTAATCATAATAAATCTGGTACCTCAGAAACACAAGGAAGCTGAACAGAAAGACACAAAACAGCGTGACTGCATGAAGGGACAGGACAGCTCCTTCACAACCTTTTTTTTTTTCACTGTTTTAGTTGTGCCAAAAGGCTCCAGATAGGTGTGGTCCACGCTGTCAAACTGATCAAACAACTACGAAGACAAAGTGCAAGCCTGACGATTCTACAGTCTATTTTTGTTACCCTCAAACAGAGGAATATGTAGAGAGCTGCCCAGGTTTCTTGTCCACAGTGTTGAAAGGCATGATTTTATTAATTACAACTGACAGGAAAGAAAAAAAGGCTTCCAGACCTAGAAGCTACATTCTCTTTGCAATTGTGTTGGCACCTCTGGGATAACTCTGATTATTCATGCCGGAAGTTCAATCTGTACATTAAGGAAGCTTTACAGGAGTAGAAAGCATCTCCCAAGCTGCCTAGACTACAATGTTAGAAGACTGCCCAGTGTAGCCATACTGATCAGACTCAAAGCCTGTTCTTCAGTTCACCAAACAACGGCAATTCTCCTTCCTGCTATTCCACAATATAGTATCTAAAAGGAATGGAACTTGTATCACGTTTTCTTTACATTCTTCAACTTTCATGCAAGTCCATGGGGTTAGGCAGAAACTTCAAGGCTGCAGGGAAAACAGAAAGGACTCCTAGGGCTTAGTTTTATATAAGGAAAAATTGATGGTTTCCAGCGTAGAAAGATGGCGTAAGAAACTGCCTGACTTGTAAGAAACTGGCTTTTACAGTATTCAGAATTTAAATATCTGAACCTCCTAGAAGTCTTATTTCTTGCAGGCTCCTTGCCACCAGCACCATGTTTCTGTGTCACTCCTCCAAGTCACTGCATTCTGACTGCAGAACCATCCCAGTTTGTACCAGCAGCCCCAAAGCTCTGCAGTTGGATCCAGAGTTGTTAAAGGCTGCAGGATAAATAGTCTACTAAATAAACAAACAGCCCCAATAAAAGTTTCAAAAAATGCATCGTTGCAACTCTTCCAAAATAGTTCTGCCCAGAGCACGTGCAGAACCAGCAGCCGCCTGGGTACCGTGGTTAACACACAGGTGCTGAAAGAGACATGTATGGCTTCTCCATGCTCATCTGAAACCTTTATAAAACCTTTTTAATGCACACACCAACGCATATGAATGATTTTTAAATGCTACCACTGCTTTTCGGCTGGGGCTGTGGGGTAAGTCATCTCTGCCGGAGCTAAGAATTTAGTCCACGTACTCCGAGGTGTGTTCCGGGTAGACAGCGACAAGAGGGGTTCAGTGCCGTGGAGAAACGCGGCAGCGAACGGCCACAGCGGCGACCGAGGGGATTCGGCCCAGCTACACGCAGAGAGCTGCCTGCAGGCCCCCCGCCGTGCCCCCAGCGGAGGACGACATGCCGGGTTTGTGAGGTCATTTTTCCGAATAAAAAGCCCTTTTTTAGCTCAGTGTGGAGAGCTAGCAGCCCTCTGGCTGGGTGTTCCGGCCACCTCCATCCCTCGGTTCGGCAAGTACAAGGCTCTTCAAGCCATTTTCTCTCGCATGCTTGTACCATGTTTACATACATGTGTGCAGAGCTTCTGTATTTGTTCTCCATTCCATACAATCCTCCTTAAGCAAGATTTAGTAAGTCTAGCCCACACAAGTTTATTACAGACTGACAGATCTTTGGACTTCGACAAGGTTTGTAATTTTCCTACAGAATGTTTTACTTCTTTGGGTGAGAGGAGCCTGTCTTAACAGGTACCATCACCTGCACAACAGGGCACACGGACCACTTCATCTCCTCAATACACGGCTTAAACCCATGAGTAGGCGTTGTCTCCAGCTACCCGAGGTGGCCCGGGTTGGTCTTCGCCGGGTTAAAAAAGCCGAGTTCCCCTTTAACCAACAGTGCGGAAACGCTTTAAAATCGGAAGTTTCTGCTTCAGGGAGTTCGCGCGCCC